CCTCAGTAGCAAGCAAGTGGAGCACATCTTATACTGCTCGCCACAGCAGACACTCTTCAACACCTCTAATCCACACTAACCTGTTAGGGTGCCTCTGATTTAGACTTCAAACACTGAAAATCAGAAAATGTGTCCCACCATTCAGGTTTTTAGATGGTAGCAAAAATGACAAAGAAGAGGAAGAATTTCTGCCTGCAGCAGAGATTGCAGACTCGGACAGTGAGGAGGAAGAGGCTTCGACACCATCCCTTCCAAGGAAAACACGCAGTTGTGTGTCCAGGAACCTACACTCTTCCACGAAGTCGTCCTTACACACCCCCTCCAAGACACCAAAGAAAACCGTAAGGTTTTTTTAGCTTTATTTTCCAGTGAAGCATCCCTCTCAATTTAAAATGTGATGGCTGATATCACACTATTATTAGTAATAATTGGGTTCTGAGTACAGGTCTGTTGTATTGAAAGCTATTACACTTGGAATATTCATGAACCCTAGGGCTGAAAATGAATCCAGAATTAGGGGTGGGGAACCTTTTTTCTACCAAGGGCCATTTGGATATTTATAACATCATTCGAGGGCTATACAAAATTATGAACTTAAAAACTAGCCTGCTATGTTTGGTCAAACATTTAATCAACTCACCCCTAATGCTTTGGCAGGGCCAGACCAAATGATTTCCTGGGCCTTCTATGGCCCACCAGCTGGACATTCCCCACCTATGCAGTAGATAGTGATTTTTGGGTTCCCTTTAAAATACAAAACCAAATGGCCAAGAGCCAAACTTCCAGAGGGAAGGACAAGAACTGGCACTTGATCTTTGCATTTCCCACAAAACCCAGTAGAGAGCTTTGAGTGTAATCAGTGCTCAGTGGGTATTGAATCAGGGCTGCTGAGCCGTGTTGTCTTTACTCTGAGAGAGGCCAGTAAGCCAGGACAGGTGGAATAGAGAAATTGAGACGGACAGCTGAACAAACTGGCCCAGCAATTTACAGCCAGACCCAGAAGGTCACCTCCCTAGAGATCATGTTTAGGCCTCAGTTGTATTTAAGCTCCAGGCCCAGAAAAGCAGCAAACCCAGGTAGGCAATGCCAGGAGCAGCTGCATTACCTAATGATCCTTGCCCTGGCACCTACCAATCAATAGAGATCATGAACTTGAAAGGGCACACCAGGAAAACTAATGACTATTCTGCTGAGACCTCCCCTGATTACTGCCTGCAAGAGAGAGATAAAAGCCTCAAAAAAAGGACCCAACACATGCTCTCCCTCTGGAGAGCAACCCGTGCCATTTCCTCCCCGCTGTTCTCCCACATCTATGCACCCCCAAACTCTAAGGGACCCATGAGACTTGCAACCAGGGGAGCAATGGGCAGTGGCAGCTGTCCCGGGCTAACCCCCTGAACCTGTCTCCAAGGGCCCCTTTTCTCTGACTTCCCTGAGAGCTAACGCAGCCCAGCCTAGGCTCTTCTGTTGCTTCTACTTTGCTTTTACTGTCCCCGGCCCTAATGACTGTACCCCCATAGTCACCTGGACTCATGTTGTGAAATTTTTCCTGCACGAAGTCAAGAACCTACACACTACTGGCTGGTTGTAGGCAGACCTGCTCAGGGTCCAGTCACTTGTCCAGGTAACAGTGTCACTTGATACGCCTGAGAAACAAAGAGTACTTACTACTCAGGTGTTGGTAATGAGTTGTGTAACGGAAGAGAATAATGGATGTCTCTTCTGCTTCCTATGGAACTTTAACAAAGAGTCTTCCCATGTTCAGATGTGTGTTAATGTTATTGCGACCTTCAGAGAAAGCCTTAGAGCAGGAGCCTTTGACCATTGTTCTTTGGAAGACCTCCAGGGAAGGAAATCCAATAGATAACTTTTAGACGTGAGGTGATCTTACCTGGAATTCTTTTTTATGCAAATAGTTCACCTACCTTCTGGTTTGATTGCATCTCCTGGGTCCCACTGAGAGGAAGAGATATCATTTCGGGTGTGAGGGCGTCTTTAGCATAATAAAAAAGACAGGAAATTTACCAAATTCTTGATACATTCTTTTTATTTATTAATTACTAGTAAATTGATTGGGGCGACATTTTGATACATTCTGAGCAAGGTTTTCTTACTCCTTTCCTGTTTTCTCCAAAGTTATTAGGTGTTAAGCCGGTAAACAAGGTCTAACCATGTTTTCAAACCAATCTATAGGAGGATCCTCTGAATCAAACCCAGTTTATGCCTCCCACTCAACCCTATGTTTGGGCAGGGTAGTTGGGATTTCTTTATAATTTCTTACCTTTTTTTTAAAGTAATATTTTACTTTTAAATAGAGTTTAATCCATACTTTCATTTATTCTTTCCCCAGATTGACATTGTTTTCAAATCCTAATACTGTGTGTAAATTGGAAAAAAGAAATTGTGTTTGGACTATGAACAAAATGTATGTGTGATGTGAGGAGAGAGAGGGAAAATCATGATATTTTATACATAAAAGAACTAAGAAATACACCACCTCTCTTCTTTTTAGCAAGTCATCAGGGATCAGATTTGCTAATGTGTCCTGGACGGTGTTTTGCTTTGTTGTTGGTGTGTATGTGTGTGTGGTTTTTTTCTGAAATACTTTCTCTCTTTTTCTGAATATAGCCCAAGCCTAGAATGCCACGTTCTGTCACTCCCCAGATCCGCAGCCGAAACCTGGCTGTCCGGGGACCTGCCAGCGTGCTAGAGGAGGCCCGGCTAAGGTAACACTGCTTATGGGCCCTTTTCAGATAGGAAGAGATGGGCCTCTGCTTTCATTCACGGGAAACAGGAGTAATAACAGAGTAAAATGAACGTGTGTGTTCAGAGAGAAGAAACCTCTCCCGTAGTGTCTGGGTCAGCTAATGCAGACTGGCTCTAGGAGTCACCTTCCAGTCTACTGCCATCCTTTTCTCAGGGATGGAAGTGATTAGTCAGGACACTCCTTCTCAAGTGTCGGGACTTTTAAAAAATATACAAGCCTGCATCCTTCCAGAAATCAACCGAATCAGAATCTCTTGTGGGGTGAGGTTCAGCCATGTGATTTGGGGAAAGCTTCCCAGGTGACGTGTACTTTTGGTTAGCACCACTGAGTTAGTGATTTGGGGGGAGAAAGGGATTATGCAACTACATGAAGAGATTTGAGAATGAAGATATTCCCTTGGGTTTGTGATTAAGGTTTTATGTAGGAACTAGATAAGTCTTTCAATTTATTATTGAGTAGATGGTGAAATGCTTCTAAAACCCTCCTTTTCCCTTATTTAGTCTGCATGTTTCTGCTGTACCTGACTCTCTTCCCTGTCGGGAAAAGGAATTCCAAGATATCTACAACTTTGTGGAAAGCAAACTCCTTGATCATACTGGAGGGTGAGTCAGGCTGAGCCAGGTAGGATGGTTGGGGGAGAAGGCTCCTGTTGGTATACCCCTCAGCTGTCAGAGATCAGCCAGATGGTCTTTGCCCCGTGTCAGGAGAACAGGGAAAAGCCTAAAGCTTCTAATGCAGCTTTTTGTTGTCAAAGTTATTCTGTAGGAATAGGAATTCTGTTTTTCAAAGAAAAACGGCACAGCCATTGCTTGTGGAATGAATGATTCTATGGAAACAGGCCCTGCTCTCATTAGCTTCCAAGGATGGTCCCTACTGCCCCCACCTCCACATTTCAGGGCTCTTGGTCCTTCCTTCAGCAGACATTTGCTCACTCCTAACTGGTGAGGCAGCTGGCACAGACCTAACCCTCACGCCTTCCCTTCCTGCCTAGGTGCATGTATATCTCTGGGGTACCTGGGACCGGGAAGACTGCCACTGTACACGAGGTAATACACTGTCTGCAGCAGGCGGCCCAAGCAAATGATGTTCCTCCCTTTCAATACATTGAAGTCAATGGCATGAAACTGACAGAGCCCCACCAAGTCTACGTGCAGATCTTGCAGGTAAGCAAAGCAGTTTGGGCTTTTTGGAAAATACAGTCTTGGTGGCACATGAAAAGAAAAAGGTTTACTTCATTTTGTGCATATTACATATTTTCAACATGCCAGGCATTGCTCATTGAGTAGAGATAGCAAGAGCAAAGGCAGAATTCCTACCCACAGGGACCTTAACGTCTAGGAGCTCGTTATGAAATGTCGGAAGCTAGTACTGACTGTCATGGTGAAAGCCATTTGCACACAGGAGGCAGTGTGGCAGACTAGAAAAGGGTTGGAGGTAGGCGCAAGTTTGCACCTCACTCTTGGTTCATTAGCTGTTCTCTTGTAACAGATAATGTCCAGTTATAGAGTTAGGAAGTAATGATTTTGGAGGGGCTTCTGGGACTAGTCTGTGGTTCATTTGCATTTCAATCACACAGACTTTATCTTCTGTCTTGGTGCCTTCCAAGCTTAGGGTAGAAGGCAGAGTATAGGATCCTGAAATCCTCAGACTAAATAGCTTCCTCTGTTTGCAGATTTAACTTTAAGCCCTTAGAGTTAGAGTTCACAATACCTGTTTTCCCCCAATGCAGAAGATGACAGGCCAAAAGGCAACAGCTAACCATGCAGCCGAACTGCTGGCAAAGCGATTTCGCACCCAAGGGTCCTCGCAGGAAACCACCGTGCTGCTTGTGGACGAGGTAAGGGGGTGCCCACAGGAGGACTGGGAAAGAGGCCACATGGTTGTTGACCGAGATGTTTTGCGAGCAAGTACTGGGCAGGACGGAAGGTTTGGCTCCTTCCTTCATCTAAGCCTGTTTGGTGGCAAGTGGCACATGCCCACTGATTTCCTTGCTGCTCTGCTGATGTGCCCTGAGAAGTGCATGCAGCTAAACAGTGGTGACAGGTCTCACTCTGGGCCCTGGCTCGGTCTCTGTAGTTGACCCTGCATCTCTCTCCATTTCCCTGGCAGCTTGACCTTCTGTGGACTCAGAAACAAGATGTAATGTATAATCTCTTTGACTGGCCCACTCACAAGGAGGCCCAGCTTGTGGTCCTGACCATTGCCAACACGATGGACCTGCCAGAGCGCATCATGATGAACCGGGTGTCAAGCCGACTGGTAGGTTTTGGGGCCGTTCTCAAGTTGTTCTTACAGATCCAGAAGCTGTGCTAAGGAGTCCTGCAAAAGTGAATACATAGGGCACTAAAATAAATGGGAAAAGTACGAAATGTGGATTCTAAAATTCTTCTCATTTTAAGTTGGAATTAAACATATCGCCATTGCATGATTTGCTGAAAACATATCTTGATGTTCTGCTGCCTGGGCACTGTTAAACTGCAGAGCCCTGGAGGTTTAATTATATTTAAAATATAATTAAGCACTTTCCCTTGCCAGGCAGTGTTAGATGGGTAGAGTGTAGCAGTGAGCAAGGTGGATGCAGTCTCTGCCCTCGTGGACCCCTGGTTCAGCCTGAACCACAGGTACTTCTAAGCATGGCGAGTGAGACCAGGAGCTGTGCCTGCACAGATCATAGAGCTGAAGATCCTCCCATCCACTCTCCTCGGAGCACCTCTACTTTTCTCTACTTCTCAGTGATTCTGGCAGAATAAAAGGATATTTTAAACTAAATGAAAAGTAGTTTGAGAACTACCATTGTCAGTAACAAAGAGCTGGAAGCAGTGGGAGTCCCAGCATGAAATCTGCACACTGTTACGGATTTGGGGACTGAACTTTCCACCAGGGCTATCAGAGGGCAATCCATGAACTTGTTTCTCTGTCATCCTGGCTCCCCAGGGTTTCACCAGGATGTCCTTCCAGCCCTACACTTACAGGCAGCTGCAGCAGATCCTAATGTCCCGACTCAAACACTTAAAGGCCTTTGAGGATGATGCCATCCAGCTGGTTGCCAGGAAGGTAAGTCACCGTCGGGAGACCTAGCTGTACCTACAAAACGCGGCAATTCTTTGCTGAGCACCTGTTGGTGTAAGGTCCAGTGCTGGGTGCTCTGGGAATGAAGAGAAATTTAGGAAGTCTTGTAAAAACAAATACAAACGTAGAAATGAAGTCCTGAAAAATTCCTGAAATCTTACTGTATGATAGGGGGCTATGACTATGGTGGGCTTAATCAATTAAAACGAAAATTAATTGATTCAGGAAGCAGACAGCTTTGTATAATGAAAGGAGCAGAATAGTTAAACAGACAAACCTGCTTTGAATTCTGGCTCTAACACTTATAGGCATGTGGAAGGTTATAGGAAAGTTACTTTAAAACTCCCTGAGCCTCAGTTTACTTCTCTGAAAAATGGTAATAATACTAGCTACCTCATAGGGTCATTGTGAGAATGAAATTCAACCATGTCCAGAAGGTGCCTGTAAGATTGGAGTTGCTCCAGGCAATGGACGCAGGCAGTGAGGGGAGTTTATTAGAGGGAATGGGGAGAAGCTCAGGACTCAGCCTCCGCTGTCCTTGGGGTTGAATTTTATGCACAAAAACCACAAGGAGTGGAGGCTGGGCGGTGGAGTTCGTTGTCCTTCAGACTGATCAGTGCTGGCCGTTGTTATCGTTGGCCGGCTGTCTCGCCCTCCATGTGGCTGCCTCCTATTAAGCCAGATGGGGTGACCACTGGTTCTTCCACGAAATGAGGCTGGGGCCACTTTCTCATTCAGGACTTTCTAGTCCGCCTGAGCCAGATGTCCTCTGCTGGCCTGTCAGTGTCTAGCAAGGTGCATGCTCCATGGTAAGTATAAAATTTGAACTACATTCAAGCGTGTCAAACTCGGGGCTCATGGGCCACAGGCCTCGTTTACGTCCTCCAGGCTCACTGGGAGAATGCCAAACGAGATTCCACTAAGACTTACCTGAAGCTACTGAAGAATAAAGTGGGTTAAATATCTCCCTCAAGCTGAATACAAGAAACCACCCGTCCACCGTATTTCAGCACTTAAAAAGATTTATAAATGTTTTTCTAGTGTCTTGCCTGGGAGGGTGTGAACTCTGAATGCCTATACTAGCAACACATGTCTGCAACACCTGCTCAGAACTGCTACTTACTGTGTTAGGTTCTGGGATCAGATTAGCCAGATGGATGCTCGACTCCAGGCTTCACTTTCTAAGAGAGATCCAAGTTACCATGTGATCCTCAGTTGGGTAGAGTTTTCACTTCCATCATGCAAATTCTAAAAGTTTATGTTTTTCCTCCAAATGGTCCTTTTTTATGCCTATTTAAGTTATCTTCTTCCTTTTCCTCCGAGGTGCTTTGTGTGCTGGTTTATCCTGCACTGTTCCTTCCCTCAGATGCTCCTTCCCTCAGATGTCTTGGTTGTCCACTTAGGTATAAGAATGGAGGCTACAAAGCTTAATGGGAGCTCAGAGCACTTGAGTAAGCTTCACTGGGAGAGTCTGATGGGCCAATTTCCATATCTTTAGTTGTTTTCATTGGGATGGTCAGATTTCCTGTAGTTGGCTTCTTGTGTCCTGCCTGGAGGGCAGTATGGGGTGGGGTAGGTGGGCTGGAGTCAGAGTTCAGGATGCAAATGGTTAGGGACATCCCCTCCCCTCTGACAATTCCTGGTGTCCTGGCCTAGAGACTTTGTTTATTCTTTTTTTTTTATTGATTTTTTACAGAGAGGAAGGGAGAGGGACAGAGAGTTAGAAACATCAATGAGAGAGAAACATCGATCAGCTGCCTCCTGCACACCCCTTAGTGGGGATGTGCCCGCAACCAAGGTACATGCCCTTGACCGGAATCGAACCTGGGACCCTTGAGTCCGCAGGCAGACGCTCTATCCACTGAGCCAAACTGGTTAGGGCTGTTTATTCTTGTTTGAGAATAAATCTTGGGTCTTCTGCCATGGTATAAGAGGGAACATCTCCAAGGCAAAGAGTTTTATGGAAACAGTACAAATTAACAAGGCACAAAATTTTCTCAGAGCCCTAAACTCTTCCTCCCCACAGTTGCCCTAATGTTCATCCAACAGCACGAAATGGGAGAGGATCTAGAGCAGTGGCTCTCAACCTTCCTAATGCCACGACCCTTTAATACAGTTCCTCATGTTGTGGTGACCCCCAACCATAAAATTATTTTCGTTGCTACTTCATAACTGTAATTTTGCTACTGTTATGAGTTGTAATGTAAATATCTGATATGCAGGATGTATTTTCATTGTTACAAATTGAACATAATTAAAGCATAGTGATTAATCACAAAAACAATATGTAATTATATATGTGTTTTCTGATGGTCTTAGGTGACCCCTGTGAAAGGGTCGTTTGACCCCCAAAGGAGTCGCAACCCACAGGTTGGCGACCCACAGGTTGAGAACCGCTAATCCAGGGCAAGGGTCAGCAGAGTTTTTCTGTGAAGGGTCAGGTAGTAAATGTTTTTGGTTTTACAGGCTATAACAGTCTGCCACCACTATTCAACTCTGCCCTTGCAATACCAAAAGCAGCTGTGCACAATAGGTGAAAAATACACATAGCTGGGTTCCATTAAAACTTCATTACAAAAACATATGGGGCCATAGTGTGCTGACTCCTGGTCTAGGGCATCCATTTCTTAAGCACTCCTTATTTTAGCCAAACTTTACCACCAGTTTCAATACCACTAAACCTGGGCATTTTGTAGATTTTTAGTATAATTTAGATTTGTTCTTAGATTCCTCATTACTGTCTTAGGAATTCTTCAGTCTGCTAAGTCAACCGCTACACTGCCACCTCTTTCCAACTGCAGAATTATATTGTTTACTCCTGTTGCTTCCCTTCCTCTTACGGTTCTTTGTCTTTTTTTAATATATTTTTATTGATTTCAGTGAGAAAGAGGGATAGAGAGTCAGAAACATCGATGAGAGAGAATCATCAGTTGGCTGCCTGCTGCACATCCCACATGGGATCGAGCCTGCAACCCGGGCATGTGCCCTGACCAGGAATCAAACCGTGACCTCCTGGTTCATAGGTTGATGTTCAACCATTGAGCCACGCCGGCTGGGTGGTTCTCTATCCACTGAGCCAAACTGGTTAGGGCGGTTCTTCGTCTTTTAATAACGTTTCAGGAGGCATCAAATTTGGATGGTATTTTTACCCAAAACTCTTGCCTGTAATTTCAAACCTCTCTTATTTCTTTACATATAAAGAAATAGAATACATCTATTTTGTATTCTGTATACTATAATTATAAAGTCTTTGTGAGTCCAATTCTATCAATTGCTGGTTCCCATGTATATGTGGCCTTGTTTCCTTATTATTGTATCTTGTTTTTGTTTTTTTTATTTTCTTGTACTGTGGGGCCTTGACTTACGAGTGTCCTGACTAATGAGTTTTTTGAGATACTAGCTGTCTCTCGGCCGATTTTTTGCATTGAGTTGACAGAATAATTTGAGTTAATGAGCTCCTTGATGAGCTCGGTCTTGGAACGAATTAAACTCGTAAGTCAAGGCCCCACTGTACTATATGCTCATGCTCCTTAGAGCTTTATCAGATAATTAATTGAGGCCTGATTGAAGTTGAGTTCATTTAGATTTTGTTTTTGCTTCTGTTAGTTACCAAAGGGCACTATCAACTGGGACCATTTTAAAACAACATTCTCCACAAGAGGTTTATAGGAGACACAACATAAATTTGGGCTCAAAATCGTGAAGACTTTTGGTTGCAAAGACTTCTAACCCTGCACCACCTAGTACCAAGGTCAAAACAGGCCATTTTTCTAGCCATCCTTCTGCAGGATGGTTCTCTCATTCATCCTTATGCTGAGGTCGGGCCCATGATCATGTAAGGTCTTCTCTTAGAGTCCATGTTGGGTAAACCCCAGCTTTTTCTTTCGTCTCCGTCACCATCACAGCCATCAGAAAGGATGCTTACGGTCACCAGGTTCACAGGTGCTCTCAGGGTGAGGACTGCTTTGGGTGTTTTCTTGCCTCCCGGGGTCCCTGTGCACTTTGCTTCTAGGCCTCTGCAGCAGCTCCAGTCCACGCTGTGAACACAGTACTGCTTCCCAAGGCAGTGGAATGGGCTCTGAGGAAAGAAGTGACAGGTGGAAACGTCCATAGGACACCCTTACCTGCTGGATGTGGGAGGTTAGAGGAAGGGAAGAATATAAGCTGGTGCTCATGCTTCTCTCTTGAATTACTGGATAAGTGACTTTTGTTTTGAGTGTCTTAAATTTTAATTCTGAAAACAGAAATATACACAAATGTTTTAAAAACGTCTGTAATCCTACTTCCTAGAAATGGCTTTTTAATGTCTTTGTGTGTTGTGTATGTGTGTGTGTGTGTGTGTGTGTATGCCTATAAAATTTGCTTTTTTCGAACTTAACGTAGCATGAATATTTGAAGGAAATGATTATTTCAGCATGTCTTTAGGCTAATGATCAGGATTGTTGGCAAGCATTGGGACTATTGAAACAGAGATCCTTGCAGGCCACAGTGAGTCCAAAGCTTCCCTCAGTGAAATTTAAATTGCAAGTGGCTTAAGTCAGTTTTCGAGAGAGGATAGGATTCCCTGTGAATGGAGCCCAGGAACCCCAATCTCTGTGCACATGCAAAGGAAGGAGCAACAGTGTAGCCTCTGGTAGTGTGGGTTGGTCTGACTCAGCTAACCACAGGCTTCTCTGGGTCCCACAGATTTGCAGCCTCCTTCCCTCTTGATTCTGGTTGTTTAGCCATTGACCCAGCCGTCTCCAAAATTCACACAAATGCTGTGAGGAGGCTCGGCTAAATTTTTACCTCCAACCCCCCAACCCCCCAACCCCGCAACCTAGCCTCTTGGCCTTGGCTGGCTGCTTCTGGGGGCATATTTCTCTCCAGGCAAGAAATGAGAACCCTTGTGTTTTCAGATGTGTTGGTGTGATTGTGGGGCACCGGTCTCTTGTAGATTTCATTTCCCTAACTTTATTTTTATATTTTTTTAAATATATTTTATTGATTTATTACAGAGAGGAAGGGAGAGAGATAGAGAGCCAGAAACATCGATGAGAGGGAAACATCGATCAGCTGCCTCCTGCGCATCTCCTACTGAGGTTGTGCCCGCAACCCAGGTACATGCCCTTGACCGGAATCGAACCCGGGACCTTTCAGTCCGTAGGCCGACGCTCCATCCACCGAGCCAAACCGGTTTCGGCCATTTCCCTAACTTTAAATAAAGCTATGGATTTCTGCCTTTCCTACTTTGGAGTTATTTGTAAAACCAAGACAAAGGTTTGGACTCAGGGAAGAGTCCCAGGCACAGTAAGTTATGTGCTGCATGATGACATTTTGGCCAATGAAGGACCCATGGAGCTGAAAAATCCCTATAGCCTCGTGATGTCATAGCCCGTGTAATGTCGTAGCATAACACACTGCTCGGGTGTTTGTGCTGATACTGTTGTAAACAAACCTGCTGTCAGTTGTATAAACGTACAGCACATACAATTATGTACATACACAATACTTGATAATGACAATAAGAGACTGTTACTACACTAGTCATCATTATTTTAGGTGTATTCTTTCTACTTATAAAAAGGCTACACCATGTAGGTTTGTGTAAATGCATTTGGATGTCTGCACAGCAATGAAATGCCTCATGAAGCATTTCTCAAGAGCGTATCCCCATTGTTAACCAACACGTTAACAATGTGATAATTTATATCTGGGCTTCGTCCAGGTTCCCAACGAGGACTAAGTACTTCACTTCAAGCTTAAGTCCATTCTCAGCAACGCCTTTTTTTTTTTTTTTTTTTTTTTTTAGCTGAACACAAAATCTGTTGGTTGACATGGCAAGGGGACTCAAGGAATAAAATGATCCCTCTTGTAGGTAGCAGCCCTCTCTGGAGATGCACGACGCTGCCTGGACATCTGCAGGCGTGCCACCGAGATCTGTGAGTCCTCCTGCCAGAAGCCCGGCTCCCCTGGCCAGGTCACGGTGGCCCACTTGCTGAAAGCCGTAGATGAGATGTTTTCATCGGCGTACATCACTGCCATCAAGTAAGATGCTTCTGCTTCCTGGCCTTGAACCTTCTTTGAAAGACCGCCTGAGGGCCACGGTGGGAAGGCCATGGAAGCCTGTTTTTCTGACTTACTGAAGACGCTGTCTTTTCTCTTAAGGGGCATAGTCATGGGGTGCTGGTATCTTTCCAGATGTAGTTGCTGGATTTCCTTACTTCCAAAGTTGCATTTATTATATCATTTTAAGACTCTGGGAGGGTAGGGGGACCCCTTCCCAAATAATATAGGAGGAAGTAGTCCCATTTTTTTCTAAAAATGCAGAAAAGCTTTATTCAGCTTTCCTCTCGGTGTTGGTGCAGCCACACAGAGAATTCACATGTCTTCATTTTCTTTAAGAAATTCCTCTGTTATGGAACAGAGCTTCCTGAGAGCGATCCTTGCAGAATTCCGTCGATCGGGACTGGAGGAAGCAACATTTCAACAGGTGGTCAATCTCCTTTTTTAAAATCCATCTAGATTTTGGTCTGATGCTGTTAAAATATGTGGGAATTTAAATCACTGTGTGATAGTTTGTCTATTTTGTGGTAACCCAGTAATGCTAAGGAATATCAAACCAGCATCTATTTTTATGTGATATTTTTATTGAGTTGCATGAGGAGAACTTTAGCAACTGGCTTCTACATATTAGATGAAAGGTTTACTATGTGCCAGATACTGTTCTAGGATGGGAGGTTCAAAGATGAACAATCAAAAGTCACTGCCCTAATATAGCTTATGTGGTGTAATGGGGGCGACGCTTTCAGAATGAGCCATGTTTAAAATCATAAAGGTCAATCCAAACCATCTTTGTGCATCATCTCAATATCAGTAAAAGGAAGCCTGAGGTCTCATGCCTTAGAGGTTTATCTAAAACCAGTGTCCACAGGCAATGGCTCCCTTAGAATGTGAACTATCAAAGGTGTGTGTGTGTGTGTGTGTGTGCCTCATTTTATTGATTTTTTACAGAGAGGATGGGAGAGGGACAGAGAGTTAGAAACATCGATGAGAGAGAAACATCGATCAGCTGCCTCCTGCACACTCCCCACTGGGGATGTGCCCGCAACCCAGGTACATGCCCTTGACCGGAATCGAACCTGGGACCCTTCAGTCTACAGGCCGACGCTCTATCCACTGAGCCAAACCGGTTAGGGCAATATCCCTTCTTCTGACAAGCTCCCAGTATTGATGGGGGGTAAGGGGTGGGAGTGGGCGTGGGAGTGGGGGTGGGAGTGAGGGCTGGACTTATAGTTAGAAGACTGCCCAGAAACTACTACAGACTTGCCTGACCCACTTGGGGCTTTAGGGTCGGAATCGGTTTCCAGGTAACTTTTGCCTCTTTATTCAGTATTGTCTCTCTGCCTCTGTGCTTTTCCAAGGGTCATGCCTTGGTAGCTGTACACTGTGTCTGCTTAGGAAAATACCTGATAGCAAAATTTGACTTGAATTATGACAATCTCCATTATGGAATTCTCAGCCCCTGGATACCAGGACTCTTGGTGTAACAATTTCAGTACTAGACATTTTATATCCATTAATTCAAGATATTATAATACATTCAATAGATAAAACTGAAGCTCAAAAAGCAAGATAACCTGCCCGGGGTGTCATATTTAGGTATTTGCTAGAACCAGGATTCAGACCTGCTATCCTCTGATTCTGAAGATAGCACTGCATTCTGCCCTTCATTTGTGCCCCCACTAGGACAGCCTATCAAAGGCATTAAATATCCTGGTCAAGAAGTATCTGTGTTCCCTAAAAGAAGAAATACGTGATCAGATACAGACCCAGGACGACCTTTCCTCTCTTAACCTTCCCGGCAGCTGACCTCAGATTTGCTTTTTGTTTCTAGGTATACAGGCAGCACGTGGAACTATGCAGGATGGAGGGGCTCCCTTACCCCACCATGTCAGAGACTATGGCGGTGTGCTCTCACCTGGGCTCCTGCCGCCTCCTCCCTGTGGGGCTCATAATGACCTGCTCCTTCGCGTGCGGCTCAACGTCACCCAGGGCGATGTGCTGTACGCCCTGAAAGAAGAGTGAAGAGCTTCACAAGGAAGCACAGCTGATTTTAATGAACATGATTTTATTTTTCTAAGCAAATGGAATTTTTGTGGCAAAATATAATGGAGGGAAATAACTACCAAGTAGTTTGGAATTTTCTTTTAAATAATTTGCTTTTTTCAGAGGGTTTGGGAAATTTATAGTCATTACAAACATCAGGTTATAAAACCAAATAAACCCTCCCTCTGACTTTTATTTCTGTTAGTAGCCCCACCATTTATGTAATGGTAACATGCCATGTATATCAATATCTGCACACAATCACTTGTATTGGTGTAAAATAGTCTGGGGAAAATATGTAAGGAATTGGTTATATTGTGTGCCCCTGGGAAAGAAATGGATGGCTATGGTCAGGAGTTAGAAAAAGATTTTCACTGTACGTCATGTATCTTAACTTTTGAGCAATGTGAATAAAATAATCTTAGTTTACAAAAAAAGAAATGCTGGAAGTAATATCAGTAATAAAGAATCCCTAGCAATGAATAGCTAGAAAATGTACATTTTAAAAAGGTACCATATATCATAAAAACAAATCTTTAAATGAAAAAAACTTAGATGGCACAGAAAATATAAGGCTTCTAGGAATAAAGAGATGTAATTAACCTCTAAATAGAAATAAATTCCAATCAAAATCTTGGCAGGGTTTTTTTGTATAACTTTGCAGGTTAATTCTAATATTTATTTGGAAGCCAACAATGGGACAAACTGACATCTAAAGCTTCCTCATGTGAAACATACATCATCCATGTCATAATAGTCCTGCCAGAAATGTCTGACCGATCAGACATTTGATGAGAAAATTATCAGCTAAATCAAGTTGAGGAGAAAATACTCTACAAAGCAACTTTTCCTTTTTAAAAATGCCAATATCACAAAAGACAAAAACAAAATGGAGGAATTATTCTAAACTAAAGGAAAATAGAGAAATGAGAGCTAACTGTACTGTGCGTCTTCATTGGGTTGTATATTTAAGAGATGCAAATAATTACATTGTGGAGTACAGTAATATTTGTTAATAAGTATGATGTAAAGCTTAAATTTTGTGAGTGATAGTGTAGGAGAATCTCTGTTAGAATCATGATGAAATATCTGAAACTATCATAGTTCAGAAAAAGCTTACATAGGTGTATATACATATTTATAACTGCACATAATGGACTGAGGATCAGTCAGGATATTTTAAAGAATTATACAATTCGTGAATTTTATAAAAGAATTGCATAATTTTAAAAAAGGGAAAATGGTAAATAAGTAATCCACAGACTAAGAAACAGGAATGATCAACAAAATGGAAACATAGTAAAAGAGGCCTGCAAGTCAAAACCTTTTCACATCTATTAGAAAACCTGTCAATGGTGATATGGAACAATTGGAATCCAAATGCCCCACTGATGGGAGTATAAACTGGAATAAATACTTTGTAGATAATTTGGTATTTAGTCTGGAAAATGCAGAAATCCTATGAGGCAGCAATTCCACTCGTAGGTATGTACCCCAGAAAAATGTGTACCCTAGGAGTTGTATACAAGAATGTTCATAATACTATAATGGCAAGCCACTGGAAAAGTATATTATTTTCATACTACGAAATGCCATACAGAAATGAAAAATAATTAGATAAATTGCAAGTGTCAATGTGGATGAAGCTTACAAATAGAGTTGAGCAGACAAAGAAGTTGAAGAATATATGCAGTGATATCAATGATATGTTAAAGCTTGCAAAAAGATATGGATTATTTAAGGGCAAATATATACATAGTAGAAATAGAAAGAAATGCTCAAGAATAACTCAGGAGAGTAGGTAGCTCTTTAAGAAAGTCTTGCACCATGATAGGTGTATAAGTGGTTTCAACTGTATTATTGTGCTGTTTTTCTTAAACTTGTGAGTGATTGGCACTCATGTTAATTCACACCAGGAATAGGAACTATTTTTATTGAATGCCTACTATGTACAATGCATTGCTTTAGACACTGGGGATAACTTAGAGAACAGTGGAGGTTGCATTCTAGCAAATGTGAAATACTATATACCTTTGAGGATATATTAAATATCTATATATATAAAAGCCTAAGCGACTGTTCAACCGGTAGCTATGATGTACACTGACCACAAGAGGGCAGATGCTCAGTGCACAGGCATGGAAACATGGGACAGACTGATGAATCTCAGGGGGTAGGGCAGGAAGAGATTAACCAAAGATCTTACATGCTGCATACTAGAGGTCTGGTGCACAGATTCGTGCACCAGTAGGGTCCCTCTGCCTGGCCTGCGGGGATTGGGCTGAAACTGGCCTTGGACATCAAAACATAATTTAAAAGTTGAGATATGCAGGAGTTGCAAGGTTTGTTTTAAATGGAAGATGCTCTGTAATGCCTCTTACCACCCCCATTTCATTGCCCTGCAGAGTAGGGGAGTGAGAACTTGGTGTTAAACGTCATGAAGAGGTGCAGTGAACACCCACTGCCGGCCATATCTTAAATATTTAACCCACTTCCTGATTGGAAAATATACAGTTACTAAATGTTTAAAAATATGGCCTGGCCAGTGTGGCTCAGTGGTTGAGCATCCACCTATGAACCAGGAGGTCAGGGTTGAATTCCCAATCAGGGCACATGCCAGGGTTGTGGGCTCCATCCCCAGTGTGGGGTGTGCAGGCGGCAGCTGATCAATGATTCTCATCATTGATATTTCTACCTCTCTCTCCCTCTCCCTTCCCCTCTGAAATCAATAAAAATACTTTTAAAAAATGTATGGTGCGCCCCATTTTGCTGGAGAAGCTCAAAGGACACCAAGTAGGTGGCAAACAGAGAAGCCCGGACCCACGCGAGAGGGCTGAGCAAGGCCGTGAGGTGAGCGTGCGCCTGGGAGCCGCCCAGGAGGCGACTTGGTGGGGAAGGTGCAATGGAGTGAGGGCAGGTGTCGCACCCACCGCATTTGTGCAGGCCGCTTGGCTCCCAGGACCCGCCCGCAAAACTAGCCTCGCGCTGCCGGCGCGCCCAGAACTCCACCTTCGGAGTCACCTGTTGGGGCGCCACACCCGCTCCGCCTAGCGCATGCGCATTGCGTGTTGCCGGGCGTGGAGTCACGTGTTCGGGCGCGCGCGTCTCCGTGGGGGAACTTCCTGTCACGGCCGCCGCCGCCCGGTGGCTACGGGAGTCCCGGGCGGTGCGGGGCGAGAGCAGGCCCGGGGTGGTGCCGGA